ATGATTACTTTGAGCTGTTTGGTTTAATTCCATAAAATCACACGAAGCTGATGTATTATGAGGACTTTTTGATAAAAGCAAATTAGCCTCAGAGGTTGCCCCCGTATGAGTTTGATTCACGTCGAGACATGACTAATCCTTGACATGCCAAATTGGGCAGTTGAGTCAATGCAAAACTCACGTGGCCACCCATCGGGGCTTTTGCCGGGTGACTCAGTACTGAGCAGACATGGATGGCCTCATTCTGGGGGGGCGCATGCAGATTTCTCCCTTCATCCCCGGCCCTCTGCCTCCATTCTGATCAGGCCTCGCCACCCGCCCTGTGGATTTTGTCAGTGACCCAGTGGCCGGTCTGTTGGTTTCCTTCTCGGAGGATCTGTTCCAGTAGGTCGTGGCAGGGCCATGGCTTCTGCATTTTGAAAACTCCAGGCAGTTCTGGTATGCAGCCCGAGTTGTAAACAGCCCACCCGTTGTCTTAAGTCCAAGCCGTTCTGCCAGCCTTCTTAATTGTACCCAGCTACCTCATGGTGCCGCAGCATACATCCGCTTTTTCAGCCGGGCTGCTCGCCCTGCATCACAAGCTCCGGCTTGTTTGCCTCCCAGACCAGACCCCTCACTCTCCTCCCAGCTCACACGGCCCCTTCCTTTCCAACCATGTCCAGCTGTCAAGAGCTCTTCACTGGGTTCTTTGGCGTTCTACTATTTTACAGCGTTCCATCTCCTTTCACGGAATGACCACGTTCTCATCTGTCGTTTCAGATGCCTTGTCTATGTATCATGTCAGACATCTGCTGTAGACTCTCTTACTATGGTATGCAGCCAGGACCCAGATCACCTTTGCATCCATCTTCCTCCCTCTCAGTCCCCTAGAATCCAGCATAATGTTGATCGTGCAGTAGTCACTCATTAGGCACCTACGAATTGACTTGTACAAATTCATTTTATATCTGATTGGGAGAGAGTTGGACGCATTACTTGGCTTCTGTACTTTCAGAGTAATTATTTGTATGGATTGCAAGTGCCTAGTCCTACTTATACAGGGGCTTTGGGGTTAGAGTCTGTGTTCATTTGCTTCAACAAACATTGATGGAGGACCCGCCCTAGCAGGCCTGGAGTTTGGTGCTGTTATGTTGAACTCTGTGTACCCGTCTCTGTAGACCTGTGTGCACCTTACGTGTAGAGACACCTTATGTGTGTCACTGAGTAACACACACTGATGCTCCGTGCATTGTTAGTGATCGGTGTGCAGTGTCTCTCTCTCCCTGTTCCATGAAGGGGAAGTTTTGTTTTTTTTGGCTTGGATTTTCTTCTAGTCTTTAAGCTGTCATTACTATCATAAAATAAATGCTTAACTGCCCCCATCGTGCCTGAATGTTCTGATGTATTCCTTAAGGAACTCTTCACCAATTCATTTATATTTCCAGAGCTGAAATTGTCCCCACATGAGCACTTAAGCAGAAATGAGAAGGTTTGCGTGCTGTAGGCTAGGGACTTAGCTGATCGTTTTTGACAATTCTGTGCTGGTACCTCTGACACCAGAGGGAAATTAATAGCATTATAAAGTATGGATCCCTGTGGTATTTTGCATGATATTTTGAGGAAAAGGAGCATATGAGTTTTGCTAGGTTTGGGGAATTACTGAAGGGAAATGTGGAGTTTTCTGTGAGAGCTTGCAACTATCTGCTGCTTTCAAGTGTCTTCTCCAGTTCCTTTCAGTTTTCTGGTGTCAGGCTGTGATTTAGGCGCTTTTAACAAAAACACACAGTTCAGATGGGTGTCTCATCATCGGGCAGAGACATTTCCGGAAGTGGAATTTCTGTATGTAGCAGCATTCCCACCACTGAATTTTCACTGTGAAATCAGGGTCTGCTATTATTAAAATATTTAAAACCTGTATTATAAACATACTTATAATATTTACTTCTGCATATTTGTATCTTTTCAAATTATATTACCAGTTTATTTACCCCCCTCCCCCCAAGAAATGCGTGTGTAGTTTAAAACGTCAGGTGGTTCTACAGGGTTTATAACAGGAGCTAGCAGTCTGCTGGCCTCGCCACCCTGGCTCCTGCCTAGGGATGCACAGAGCAGCCGTTGTAGCTGTTTCTTCAGCGCTTTGTGTCCACATGTCTCAACTATGTGACCGCTGCTTGACCATTTCACCTTTAAAAGTATCTAATGACTTCCTAGGGTGGGAGGTAAGGATCTGCTTCTTCTATCCCTACTTCCATCCTATACTATTGATACATTACTTTTTCGTTTTTTTTTTAATCCTCACCCGAGGATATTTTTCTATTTATCTTCCAATAGAGCGGGAGGGAGAGAAAGGGAGAGAGAGAAGCATCGATGTGAGAGGGGCACATCGACTGGTTGCCTCCCATGTGACCCTGACTAGGGCCGGGCACGGAACTGCAACTGAGGTATGTGCCCTTGACCAGAATTGAACCCACGACTCATAGGTCCGCGGGGCCAACGCTCTACCGCTGAGCCAAACCGGCTCGGGCCGATACATTACATTTTTTAGGTTAGTTCAATAGTCCCGGCTTTGTAAATGGAATATTATTCAGCCATGAAAAGCAATGAGGTTCTGACGCATGTTACAGCAGGGTCAACCTTGCAAGCATTACGCTAAGTGGAATAATCAGACACAATGGGACAAATACTATGTGGTTCACTTGCATGGAATACCTAGAATAGGCAAGTTGGGAGAGACAGATAGTAGATCGGAGGTTACCAGGAGCTGGGGGGAGGGGAGAATGGGGAGTTATTGCTTAATGGGCCCAGGGCTTCTGTGTGGGGTGGTGAGGAAGGTTTGGGAATGGTGGTGATGTCTGAGTGTCATTAATGCCGCTGAATTGTAGACTTCAAGAAGTAAAATAGGTTACATGATTAAGACCGTAAATATGATTTATCTATCTCCTTCCTTGTGCACTCTTGTGTTTTCCAGAGTTAGTGAAGGTCTCATTTTCTCCTCTGCCTGCTGTCAGAAGTGTGAATCTTTCACAGTCAGACCTGTCGGGGCTCTCTGGTTTGCTCTTCCCAGGCGCCCTTCAGCCCCTCGTCCCTCCCCTCTGGGCTCTTGCTCTGCAGAAACACATCCTCGAGCCTCCTCCTGAGGGTGGTCTGCAGCCAGCCTCCCCGGACGCAGGACCTGAGCTGGGGACTCTCGTGCAGAGAATTTAGGGAAGGCAGGCTTTGGGAGATGGTGGCCAGGAGCGAGGGATGGACGGGGCTGGGGGCGAGGCTGAGCTGGGATGTGGGAGCACGCGGTTCACTCCCACGCAGCACAGATTTGCACGGTCCCCTCCTGTTCTCGGTGTGGTACCCTTACTCCTAGCTGGGCGGCGGGGCTAGGGGGAGGGGGCATCCCTGAGTGTCTGGTGGGACAGCGACATTGCTAAGGATGGAACGTGGGAGGGGTTGGGGGATGAGACGAGTGAGCATCCTCACCGGGATTGTGGTTTTAGATTGTTGATGGTGGGGGAGCAGGGCAGGCCCTGAAACGTGCGAGGAGAGAGGCCGCTGGGCAGGTCCCCCCGTGCGGGTCCTCCTTGGTGGGGCTTCACAGGCTGTTGAATTCAGAGCTAGTGAGACAGCAGACTGGGAGAGGGCTGGGTCAGGCCCCGGCATTGGGAAGGAGCCCACAGGCTTCCCGGACGGGCTCAGGGCGCCGAGCTGAGCCGTTTCCCCCTCCTTGGACGTTCTGCAAGCACTTGCGATTTTCTAGGCGTGGCACCGGGGCTTCTGCTGGGAGAGCCCAGCCCAGAGCAGCCGTGTGGGGACGAGGCCGGCAGGAGGGAAATCACCTGCTGCGTGGATTTGTCCTTCATTGTTGCTCTTCTGACATCTGGTTGTGTCAGCCGTGTGTTATTTTAGAGACGGAGGATGCAGATGTATTTTTTCAAGACAAGGCATAATTAAGTCATTTTTAGAAACCCATTCAGCATTTTACATGTCAGTGATGACTGCCATGTGGTGACGATGGGGTAGTGGGACTACTCCAGCCAAGACGTGCCTGCATTGATAGGAGAAAATGACCCTGGGTGTGTGTTTAGTCCGTGCAACGCTGGAGACTCTTCCACTGCATCGACCTCGCTGAGATTTGAACCCAACTTCATTGTCCTCTCTTTGCTCGTGTCTGTCCCCTCATGGAGGTGGTTGTGGTCCTGCTTGCTCAGTTCCCTGAATCTGCCACTGTGACCTTGAGAAAATTATCTTATTGCTGTGAGATTCAGTATCTTCATCTGCAAACAGCAAGAGAAAACAATATCTACCTCTCAGGGTTTTTGCGATGATAAAGGAAGATATCAAATGTGAAGCTTGCTCCCTGGAAATAGTAGGCGATCAATACGTGTCAGTTCCCGTCTTTCTTTGTAGCAATAGGAACGTTGATGAGACCCAGCTGACATTGACCCCCTGTCCCCAGGTATCTCAAAGCTGTCACACATCACAGAGAAAAGACACATTCTTTAGTGCTCCAGAGAACAGGCCTAGAGCTGATGTGTAAGAATGGGAGGGAGAGATTTCCACCGAGCACGAAGTATTCAATCAGAACAGTTTCTCACCAGTGTTATTGCCATTGGGGGCCAGATAACCCCCTGTTGTCAGGGGCTGTGCGTTGTCGGGTGTTGACAAGCGTCTCTGGCCTCTGGTCACTAGATGCCCCGAGTGTGACCACCAGCAGTGTCTCCAGACAGTGCCAGTGTCCCCCGGAGGGCAGAATCGCCCCAGCTGAGAACCACTGAAACAGAGGCGAGATGGCAGCAAACCAGACTTCATCTTCCCAAGGCCAACGCCGTTCTGCCCCAGATCGAGTTCTTACAACATTAGTTCCAGGAATTCTGGATTTTTTTTGGTTTGGGATGGCACCCACCACGGAGGGTTGAAGCCCTGACACCTGTGACATCGTAGGGTGCCGTGCGGACCCTAGAGAGCCCTGCAGCCCCGCGTGGGAGGCCTGCTGAGCTTGGGGTAACGGCCTGCTTGCTGTGTTTTTGCAGGTCATGCTGGCAGCCTCCTATTGGTCCCTCCTGGCCCCCGCTGTTGAGATGGCCACGTCCTCTGGGGGCTTCGGAGCCTTTGCCTTCTTCCCCGTGGCCGTGGGCTTCACCCTCGGAGCTGCGTTCGTCTACCTGGCCGACCTCCTGATGCCTCAGCTGGTGAGTACCGGCCGTCAAACGTGATGTGCGCTTTAGTACCTCTGCCCGACAGCCGGTGATGTCAAAATAGACACGGCAGCCCATTTAGAGCTTCTCTGTAGAGGAATTGAATTTGACGCGTCTCCTAGAAGGACACACGCTCTTGGTAACATGACTAATCAACCCCTTGGTTCCGTTTTGCTAAGTTCAGATTTTAAATGTCAGACTTCATTATAAATAGAGAGCGCAGCTGACATCCTGCTGCGTGGGGCCGTCTAAATGAACGGACCTAGAAACTGGTAGGAGTGAGTGACCCTCATCATGGTCCTGATCCTTAAGGGGCTTTTGATGATGGCACCGGGAGATGATGACACACCCGACGGACAGCGCAAGATCAGTGAGAAAGCATCGTGTCAATAAGGGCTTATTAATAGGAGGAGTAGGCGGGGAGCCTGGGCCGCCAGGCTCTGGGGGAGCCCACTTCTGCCATTTCCGGGTGGTGTGCCTGCCCCTGAGCTCCCTTCTCCCTCCTGTAACTTGAGGATTACTCCCTGCAGTGGCTGCAAAGTCAAAATTAAAAAATCTTAACAGGCCCCGGAGTAGGGCTGGTGGGTTGGGTTTGGGGAGTGAGCGTGTACAGAGGAGCGGAGTGAGAACCACAGCCTGAGGTCTGGCTGTGACCCCCACAGACAGCCAAGGCCAGACCGAGAGGTTGTAACCCAAGGCCATGGGCTAAAACCGGGTTGTCCGCAGGCGCCGCCGTCTGCAGAGAGGAACTGATGTCCGTGAGAACCCAGCGGGCTGAAGGCAGCCCATTAGACACCGGGTCCCCACAAGTCCTAGAGGTGGGCAGAGGCCCCCAGGAAAGGAGGGGGCACAGGAGAGACCCTTCGGGGGACAGTGGGGTCGAAGGCCGTTCATTCTGTTGGATCAGGGTGACCGAGGATCGGGTCGGGCTCACTGGACTCAGCTGGACACATGCCCCGGGAGGGAGGCTGGCGTTGTCTTCCCTGTCTACCTGTCTTCTTTCCTGCCTGGAATTCCCACCTGGAGAGGGAGAAGAAAGGGTTCCTGGGGGCTTGGCCCTGAGGCTAATGAGAGACCGATTCTTTGTGTGGCCGAAGGACAGTCTCTGGACCAGACGGTGGATGTTGACGGTTGGACGGGGAGCCAGGATATGTCTTTGAGGAAAATCCGTCATGTCGTTTTTCTTTTTTTCATCAAAAGCTTGAATGGCTGTGTAGTTTCTGCTCCCTGGACCCCCGGCTCCTCTCCGGAGCATGCATCTGCATGCTGGTAGCTGTGAGCCGTCCTCCATGTGGGCAGCCACGTTCTGCTCTCAGACCCCCGCCCCCCCCGGCAGTGATGAACCTGCTGTCGGGAGGCGTCCTCCTTGTTCTGGCAGGAAGACCTGGAGGGTCAGTGGACTTGATTCCCCATCAGCGGGCAGGGCTGGCTCAGCGGCTCTTCACGGCCCCTGAGGGGTCTCATTCTGCCTCCCACCTGGGCCCCACTGGGCTTCGAGGACAGAATCTTCCAGACAGCTCTTGGCAGTCACGATGGGTCCCCACTCACGGTACTGAGGGTGGGCCGGTTTGTACTGTACAGAGATGCCTTTTTTTAACCTTTTGTTTGACGTTTGTTCTAATGTGCGCTCTGAATATGGAGACGATCCCCGGGGGAAGTCTTGGATGGACTCCACAGAAAATCAGGAATGGTTTGGGAACGGCGGGAACATCTAAGGAGGGAATGAAAGGGGTCGGAAAAGGGCGAAGTAACCATCCGTGCCCAGAACCTCACTCATGGGCTGGAAGAGTCTGAGAGTAGATATGCTCTAGGACGTTTGAAAAGAAATTAATTCTCACTGTTGATATGAGAAGGGGAATTTGTCTCGGAAGGTCTTATAAATAGATAATAACTGTTTGTAATTGCTACAGTCACGGAATACAAATGTTGCTGTTTGGGGGGGGTGCTTGCAAGCAGCCTGTCCCCGTCACTCTGAGCCAGAGCGAAGGCGTTCCTTAGGGCAGCAGCCTGGGCCTGTGGAAGATGCTCTGTGGGGTCTGAGTTGACGGCTTCGGTCTGGAGCCCGCGGGGTCGTCCAGCATCGATCGAGGGCCCTTGGGAACGTAGGCTTCTGCGGGCTAGAGCTGGTTCCCAGTGCTCACTGTCCTGCGGGGTCCCGAGGCGGCTTGGGAGGCTGTGGGAGTTTGGGCAAGTTCAGCTTGAGATCTGTACAATTTGTGGTTCATTCCACCTTGTGATAGATCCCCACTGTTGAGCAGATAGCCTACAGACAGGAGGAAATTGTGGGAGCAGAGGCTCTGGCTGGAGCCCTGATGGAGGGGCCCCAGGATAGAGGGGTGCCTGCCTGCAGAAAACCCCAGGACCTCCTTTCTGTCCCCTGGGAGGAAGCCAGTCGGTCTCTGTGAGCAGTGCGAAAGTCCAGCGGGCAGAGGTGTGGCTGGCGGGATTCTGCAGCGACGCCCCGGACTTGAGCCCTTGCCCTGGGCCATTCACGCACAGTCCCACTGCCTGTCGGCACCAGACCCGCCGCCCTGGGCACTTCACAGACTCAGGGCCTGATGCGAAAGTCCAGCGGGCAGAGGTGTGGCTGGCGGGATTCTGCAGCGACGCCCCGGACTTGAGCCCTTGCCCTGGGCCACTCACGCACAGTCCCACTGCCTGTCGGCACCAGACCCGCCGCCCTGGGCACCTCACAGACTCAGGGCCTGAAGGCGGCAGGACTCCTGGGTTGGTGGGAAGGGCATGGTTAAGAAAGGACTCAGTTCTCCGACTCCCCTGCCCTTCATTCAGCCTTTTGGATTTATTTGTCCGCCTTTTGGAGCCGAAGCAAAACATGGCTCATAAAAAGCGTTTCACTCATCACAGCCTGTCCGGCTGAAGCCGCTGAGGCTGCGTTAACTTCGGCTGCATCAGACGCCTCTCCGAACGGCGCCCTGGTTGTTATTTGTTTATCTGGGGATAAAGTACAAAAGGCTCACGCGGTAGCAATTAATGGGAAACGCATTGCCAGAGATGTACAACGGCTTTGCCAAATGGCGTCTTTATGAGGGGGAGGTGGCGGGGGCTGGGCTGGGAGCCTGCAGCCCTCAGTCCGGGGAGCTGGCTGGCAGAGGCCGGGAGGGGGATTGAGGCTTGGGCCCCCTGAGCTGAGCCCTGGGCCCCTCCCTCAGGACGGCCCTAGGGAGAAACAGAATGGACACTGAACAGCTATTGATGTTGACATTTTGACAACAAAAACGTCAAAGATATTGACGTTTCTATGATCTTTGCAGGTTTGCTTGTCTATGAAGTTAAGTGGGAAGAGGAAGCCTTCACCTTCAGTTTAAAGGAGGGATTTTATTTATTTATTTCTTTGTGTCAATAACATTTTTTTTTATTAATTTATTTTGGTTATAGATGTTTCTCCTTTTTTTCCCCATTGACACCCTCCTCCCCATCCCTCCCACCCCGTCCCCAGCTTTGTTGTCCGTGCCCATCGTAAAGGAGGGATTTTATACGTGTGGGTAGAAGGGTAGGATGGGGAAGGAGGTAGGATGTGTGTCCCCAAGGCCCCTCGTCCTTCTTTTTAGTCACCATGTTAGTATTACATCAACACAAAAATCTCACTAGGAAATAAAAAATGTATGTGAAAATACCTTCCTGTTATAGACTGACTCCCTCCCAATTTATAATCCCCAGTGTGATGGTACTGGGAGGAGGGACCTTCTGTAGGTGGTCAGGCCACGGGGGTGGAGCCCTCAGGGGTGGGATTAGTGCCCTTTAACAGCGCCCCCGGGAGCTCCCTTCCGGCCTGGGAGCTCACAGCAAGGCGGCGCGGTCCATGGACCAGGAAGGAGCCTCATCAGCCTAATCTGCCAGAGCCTTGATCTTGGGCCTAGTCTGCAGAACTGTGCGAACACGTTCCTGCTGTGTGAGCTGCCCAGACCGTGGTAAGGGTTTGTGGGACAGTCCTAGTGGTCCGAGACACTCTCCTGTTCCCAGTCTGTCCCCAGAGTGACCATCGCCATCGGTTAGTGGGTATTCTCCAGGTCTCTTTTCTGTTTTTCTTTTTTCTTTGAGAAAAGCGGGTTCTGTGTCTTTTAGGCATTGAACAGAAACGCATACCCCGCATGCCCGCCCCGCCCAGCACGCGCCTGCGCACACTGTGCGCCGCTGGCCTCAGGCTGTGCCTCTCCAGAGGGTGTCCCCAAACCTGGAAGAGGTCTTCTCTGTGTGACCTCAGTGGCTGGCGAGCACCGCCCGTCTTGGCGGCCCAGTGCCCTGCCGTTCGCTGTCACTGCGCAGCGGGGCGCTTTTCCGTGTGTAGGTGCATCTGCAGATGTGATTTTGTTCTGTGTTTTCTGAAGGCGAGCGGGAACCTACTGCCTGTGTTGTCGCTACGTGCTTTTCTCTGCACCCTCTGTGTCCTGGGGGCCTTCTCTCGTCTCCGACACTCTGATTTACTTCGTGAATGAATACACGATTCGCCCGGCGGTGTGGTTCAGCGGTTAGAACGTCAGCCCATGGACCAGTAAGTCGCGGGTTCCATTCTGGTCAAGGGCACGTACCTCGGTTGCGATTCGTCCCCGGCCCTGATTGGGGTCGTGCGGGAGGCAGCCACTCGATGTGTCCCTCTCATGACGATGTTTCTCCCTCTCTCTCTCTTTCCCTCCCACTCTATCTGAACAAAAATGGAAAAATGACCTTGGGTGAGGATTTAAAAAAAAAAAAAAGAATACACAGTTTGCCCGGCTGGTGTGGCTCAGTGGTTGAGCGTTGACCCATGCACCAAGAGGTTGCCAGTTCTATTCCTGGTCAGGACACATGCCCAGGTTGTGGGCCCGATCCCCAGTGGGGGCATGCAGGAGGTGGCCAGTCGATGTTCTCTGTCATCAATGTTTCTATCTCTCCCTCTCACTTCCTCTCTCTCTAAAATCAATAAAGAAAAAAGAAAAAGAATACACAATTTGCCCTAGCCGGTTGGCTCAGCAGTTAGTGTGTGGGCCCGTGGACCA